GTGTTGACAGGGAAGAGTTTCGCCAAGGTTTAGGTGAGAAGGACTCAATGTCAGGAAAGTTGGTTCTAGCAGACATGATCACAGACTGAAAGGCACTTTGAATTGATGATAAATCAGAAGAAAGATCAACTTTAGACAGACGGTCCATAAGGAAGTTGCGTGAAATGAAATTTTCTATTTTCTTGGCGGAATTGTTACAATTGTGGAATATAATGGGGGAGTGCTTACTTTTGCCAATGGAAACATTGGACGTGTTCCAGTTGAAAGATAAAATAGTTGAGTTCGAGAAAGTTAGATCCAAGACACTGCTCGCCGTGAGACCGCTCCGGTTACAGTGAAAGGTAGTATTGCCGTTATTTAAGACACTGAAACTGCTGGAATTTATGGCATTTACAAGGATTTGGCCTTTGTTGGTAAAGTTTGATCGCCATACAGGCGGTGTCTTGCATTGCAATCTCCAGCTAGAATCATATTTTGTTCACCGTCAAGAAAGTCGTATAATCTCTGAATCTCATCACGAAAGGTTTGCACATCAAGACTGAGTGGAAAGTAGCATGAGGCTATGAAAAGATTTGGTTTCAGGTTGATGGTTTTGATGGTGATGATGTCAACGGCAGAGTAATAGGGAATACGTCTGAAATTGACACCTTTCTTAACTAATATACTAACACCACCATAGCCATCATTTCAGCATTTGGTGGCTGAGGCATAATTCGAAACTTTAATCTCAAAACAATTTTCATCTTTCAGGAAAACTTCACTTAACATGCAGAAATCAACCTTATTTGTGTTTAAGTAAAAATCCAAAAACGATAGGTTACGTCGGACACTTTGAATATTATATTGTAAAAAGGATATCATGTTGAAACTTGAGAAAGAACCCCAGCGGATTTCCTCGTAGTACTGGGTGCATGAACGGGGCAAAATATGGCACAGACTTCTTCAAACTCTCTAATAAGATTATGAGGTATCATTTTGTTGATATTTGATTCAAGTTCCCTGTTAGGGCAACATTTATTGAGAGTGTTGTATTCACCTGAACCGCAGGACAAGCACTTCATCGTCTCACAGTTCACACACTTCGGAGACTTCCCACAGTTAAGACAGAATTGCAGAATTTTGACACGTGACCATATCTACCGCACTTAAAGCACTGCTTTAAATTGGGTACAAAGTACTCAACCGGCAGATAACAATAATTAAATTTTATTGATTTAGGGAGGGTCTGCCTTTGAAGCCAATTTTGATGTTGGTTGTGGGAATCCACTCATCTTTGTTGTTGGGATTTCTCCTTTGAAAACGGACAGCGGACTTAATCGGGATATCGGATACGGCGTTTTTAATTATTTCATCGACACTGTATGTGCATGGGATGTTTCGAACGACTCCAAATTTCTCAGTGAAAGACCTCGGTATGTACGCCTTTAAATTCTTTTTAGTAATGAAATTGTTGGCATTGGCAGCAGAGCTAAAAAGCAGTTTGGCTCTGTCTATGCTGACAACTTTTAATTCTTGTAAGCCGTACATGCTGAAATCCTTCAAGTAATCATGAAAATAGAGATTGGAGTTAATATTGACGCGATTTCCTTCTGCGTCTACGCACGTTTCGACAAAAACGACAAAATTGCACTTTGAAAGGCAATCGTACAAATTGATCTCTTTTAGGTTGGCCGTAGCACCCAAATCAGAGGGCTCGTCGACTGCCGCTTTACTAGGCATAATTGAAACATTTGCGTTATCCTCTCCATTGGGAGATGAAAGAAGATTATTCTCACCCATCCTTGATCTCTTGGTGCGCCCAGTGGCATTCATATAAAAATATTCAAAGCAGGGAGACGGGCTGATTTTGTTTTGGTTGTTATCACGGGAAAAATCACAACGAAAAATTAAAAAAAAAAAATATATATATATATAATATATATATTGTTTTCTAATTTTTCTCTCACGAGAGATTCCACTTCCTTCCCTCCTTTTCTTTCTTTATAATTGTTTTCTTTGGTTATTTTATTACTTTATTAAACCTCTTTTACTTTTTCCAAATATTTGTATTCTTTTTTTTTTCACTAATCCCGGTAAAGCACAAAAATTATCCATTACCAAGTGTGAATGAAATGCGAATGTTCGGATCACATATTGTGTTTCTTTTACTTACTGTCATATCAATTTGATTTTAGTTTCAAGAGAAAATCTAGCACTTTAACAGAAAATCGGAAACTCTAGAAAAAAAATCAGCAAATTTAACTGAAAATGGCAACTTTCTCAGAAAGCCGGCAAGTTTGACGTGGTGTTACCATATTTTCAAGGCAAATCTATCTTTAACATTTGGCATTTTTCGCGTTTAAAGAAAAGAAAATCAGCTAACAGTTTTTAAAATAAAGAACTTTGATATTATAGTGAAAAAAGTGAAATTTCTCCCCGAAAAAAAATTAAGAAATAAATTTTTTTTTTTAAAAAATATACGTAGGATATATCCTGACATAGGAAAGAATCGGGGGAACAGAGATATGTGCTCCAAAATTAACGAGCTACAATAAATTTATATGTGATCACATATATGCCATACGTTATACCGTTAACCTGAACCAACTCCCATTACAAACTTTAAAAGATTATTTACTGTTGTCGTCTACAGGCTTAATTTCTATTTTTTATTTTATTTTATTTACTTACACATGAAATTCAATTAAAATAAGTTAACAGTCGAATTCAATTCACTCTTAGAAGTAAATCTTACATTAATTAATATTAAAAACAACTATAAAGTATACAAGAAGAACTAGAGAAAGCGAAATATAATAATAATTATAACAACAACAATTAAATAAAAATTCATGTATGAATAAATAAGGAAAAAAAGGAAAAAGGCTTGCAAACAACTAGCCCAAAGGCACACCCACAACCAGTATATGGCCAAATTGCAAGTGAACCCCTAAGTCAAAACGTGTAAAAGCTTAACAACTGATACAACAACAATTCACTTTCGAATCATAATGAGATATTAAGATTAAAAGTTATTTTTAAAACAATATAGGCAAATCGCGCGTATTAAGTAAAGTTGTTTTGATAGACTTTAAGAATGCGATAGTGAGTTTAAGTGATAGACATCATTTAGCTTTCTGCAAACAACTCTAAACTAGTTAAACAGCTCATAATTATATTTACATTAGCTCAGCCTAATGAACGTAAAGTGCCTAGAGATGCTAACTTAATTAAGAAGAGAGATTCCTAAGGCCGAACAGGACTGATTCAATTGAATCTACATAACACCTATAGTAAACAGACCACAAAACCGTAAGAAAGAAAGCTTTTTGCATTTTTTAGATTTAAATTCATAAAATTTAGCGAGCACCATGTAACTTAATTATTTAAGTCAGTTTAAAGCTGATAAGATTGCGATCCCAAGGAGAAGCAAGAAGACGGTTTAACATTGCCAGCGTACATTAAAATCTGGCTGGCTTTAATCATCGAGGGGAGACTATTAATGTAGAAATTAAATAAAAGGGGTCCTAAATGGACGCCTTGAAGACGTCCCGGGAAATTCATCTGAGGCGATGAAGTTGCACAGACCCCCAACGAACCCCTTACTCCGAGTAAGGAACCAAAACCGAACTAGATATCGGATACGGTTAGTTGACAGTTGAATTGGAATTAGCAGTTGAAAAGTTCAGTCGTAAGTATTCAGGTTTCAGATACGAGGTTTAATTATCATCATCTTTTGGATTAGAAAAACTTAAAAAAATATCTCTGATTATCAAAAAGTGACGATTTTATCAACTGAAGGTATCTGCAATGATATTGATGGTTGAGGTAATTAAATCTATGCCTTGATGCAGAGTAGACAAAATAGTCGTAAGCAGAACCACTTTTCATAAGTTTTTTTAAAAGTTCCTTTTTTGCGGTTATTGTAATATTTAATTGTCCTGTCAAACTATGGCAGGCACTTGTTTCTAGGCCGGGGTTGCTTGATCGGAACGGATCCAGAAATAGCTAGATTTAATACATTATCGAACGAAAACGACAAGCTATCAATATTTCCAGCAGAAAAATCAAACACAGTGTTTAAAAAATGAGATTTAAGCAGCCAAACAATAGTTTTATTTAAACCATAAGGAGTTTGTACACATAAGATTTAAAAATAGTCCAATAGTAGAATCCATCCCACGTTTTATACGTTCATTTAGCCTTTTATTAATAAATAATAAAAATTACAATTAGTTTTGATTTAACGAGGTTTATAAAATTCGCCGAAAAAATCGTCGGATGTAATCTATTCTCAATATTAATTCTTGTGTGAAACCAAACATGTCAGCGTACCAAATTTGATCAGAACGTCTACAAAATTACGAGTTGTTAAATCCTTACAATTGAAAAAATTCCCTTTGCTTATTTAAAAATAAATTTATTGTACGACCAAAAAATTTATTGTACGACCAAAAAAATTATTGTACGACCAAAAAATTTATTGTACAACCAAAAAATTTATTGTACAACCAAAAGGTTTTTTGTACGACCAAAAAATTTATTGTACGACCAAAAAAATTATTGTACGACCAAAAAATTTATTGTACAACCAAAAAATTTATTGTACAACCAAAGATTTATTGTACGTCAACAATTTTATTTATTAAATACTACACTAATTTTGAACATAATTTTTGTAAAGCTTCTCTTCAAAAACTTAATTTATTAAAAACTACACAAATTTTTAATTTTCGTATAACTTCCTTTTTTATATTTTCTTTCGATAATTTTAAATTTTTCTGATTGTTTTGCTCGCATCGTACATCTTCTTTCAGCACTTGTTTTTTCCTTTACGAGTCTATAAAAAAAAGTACCATGCGTGGAAAATGAAGAAAGCACAGAGTTGCTTTCAACAAATTGCAACGCTTCGATTCTGTTATGTGAGTGAGAATAAAGTAAATAAGCGAGGGAAGTCGAGCTCATTATTCTGTTAAATGAGAAATCGAGGTAATTATTCTGTTAAAATGAGAAATTTAGGACACAATTCTATTAGAGCGATAGAAGTTAGTTTGAACATGTGATTATCAGCTGGTTTCTATTGACATTGATTGCTCACCAAACCCAAATGTGCAAAATTAATGAAAAATATATAAGTATATACGCCTTAATGTAGTATACAGATAAAATATAAGATAATACAATATATATCATAGGTGATATAGGTTATAAGAAGGCGCAGTTTGTTAATAGTCAAAATGCTAAACGTTCTAATGTAGTTGTCGCATAATCAGTTAAAACACCTTCATTTATTCTAATTTTGAGTTTCACATTTTCCGGGTCTACACATTTCTTTCACTTAATCTTATGCGAAGGATATGTTCACAGTCTAGGTAGCCATGTCCATTTGTAAGTCTGTCTACTCTCCTGAAAATGTCCTTTCATTAGGCGATTAGTATTTTTGCCAAGAAGGAAATCGTTGCTACTTTCTTTTACAAATAGATAGTCCCGATAAACTTTTTTTGTCATTCACTTCTCCGAGTAATAAAGAAATTGTACAGATAAGTATGTTACCTATAAAATAGTGATTCATTTATGACAAAGAAAAGACTTACCGACGACTTCATTGCTTTCTGTATAGATAATCAATTAATGAGCACCTGTTTTTATAAGATTTTTATTTACGATTTTTGCTGGATTGTGGCATTAACCTGTGATTATTAGCTGATGGCCGTAAAGGGCCATTTCCGGTAGCAACACCTGTACTTCTATTATTAAAACTATTGCGAGCACTTCCGCGACCTCTTTGATTCTGCATAACACCCGGTGCGCCACCCCTACTTTTACTCATTTCTGCTCGATTTCTTGATTTTGCTTGTGCATCTTCTTTGACCATGTCTATCACTTCATCGGGTATACGCAAATATTTAATAGTACTACCACGAATGTAACATTCGGGCATGCGCCAAAAGCGATCGCCATCCTAAAATTAGACAACAAATTTAGTTTAGCGATTTGAGAGGCCTAGGGAAAAAATATAATTAATTACAAACCTTTGACGTACATATAACATCGCGCAAATTAATGTTCATCCATGAATCGCAACTAACTAGATGTCCATTGTAAGTTTCACCATTCTTTAATTCAACTAGCTACAAAGAAAAAGTAATTAATTGATTGCACAGGTGCCCTCAGAAGTGCTTATAAATATTTAAACACTTCTAAAGCCTTGCTCGTTACTGTTTCAAGAGATCCTCCCGTATGATAATATTTACTTACTATTGTGGTTTTTACCACATAAAGTCGCAAAATTTCTTGGTGAGTTTACATGTGGGCCCTTATTAATACAATTTTGTAGCAATAATTGTTAATATTTGATATAATTTTTGAATAGGTTCTTTATGGCACTTCGGATGTGATTTTTTTTTTTGCGGACATGACGAAAATGGGAATTGGTCCAATGAGATATAGCTAAATAAAGTTTCAAGTAATTCATAAAGCTGATAACTCATTTGTTATTGGAGATCAAAGCGTCTTTGCAAAATAATATTTTTCCCTGCGTAAAGATGCGCTAATATCTAGCCTGTCGCATGAATGAGCTTATATGTCCAAATTAATCAGATTTGAATGACTTCCAATCTAAGTAAACTAAAATATTCGCATTTAACACATGAATTGTTCACATGTCTTACCATAGGGTGATTTTGAGCTGTCTTCAAAAGTGAAAGTGGCAGCTGGAAAAAATAAGTAGTTCTTAATATAAAATATCAAAAAAATATTTTATATAAATAGCCAACCATATCTTATAAACAATTTATGTTGTTCCCAGAAGCAAAACCAAGCACAATCTGCCAAAATTATTTACAGCAAGCAGTGTTGTCAATGTTTTAAATAAGACATTTATAAAGAGTAAAATATCTTTTTAGAGGAATAGTTTACTGTAAAAGTCGCGACAGCAAGTTTGTTGTAAACTCTTTACACGAGTTAAAAAAATCAGCTGGCAATTCTGCAGAAACACGAAAAGAGAATATATAAAAATAATATAAATTTTAACAACATAACTTAACTGGGTCGTAATTTGCACAAATTGCCACAAAATTTCTGGAAATTTTTAAATTTATAAACAATGGCGAGTCCATCTAGGTAATCAAAATTTAAAATGAAAAGTAAAAAATTTGATGCGATTCATAAGCAATTTTATAGAGATACGAACAAGGTATGCTGCTTTTATCATCCGGATGCTCCTCTTATTGAAGATTACCGAGCTGGCGATATGATTTGTCCTGAATGCGGATTGGTTGTGGGAGATCGCGTCATTGACGTGGGTTCAGAGTGGCGTACATTTAGTAATGAAAAAAGTGGTGTGGATCCCAGTCGTGTCGGTGGACCCGAAAATCCTTTACTGAGTGGTGGTGATTTATCCACTATCATTGGTCCTGGCACAGGATCAGCATCTTTTGATGCCTCTGGCTCTCCCAAATACCAGAATAGGCGCACTATGAGTAGCTCAGATAGATCGCTGATATCGGCTTTTAAAGAAATTTCAATGATGGCAGATAGAATCAATTTGCCTAAAACTATTATTGACCGTGCAAATAATCTCTTCAAACAAGTGAGACAAAAATTTTTAATTTATGTACAAATATGACAAAAAAATGTAAATTCTAGGTTCACGATGGCAAGAATCTAAAAGGACGCTCTAACGATGCCAAAGCATCCGCTTGTCTTTACATCGCGTGTCGTCAGGAGGGCGTACCGAGAACATTCAAAGAAATTTGTGCTGTCAGCAAGATAAGTAAAAAAGAGATAGGACGCTGCTTTAAATTAACTTTAAAAGCTCTAGAGACTAGTGTTGATTTGATTACTACAGCTGACTTCATGTCACGATTCTGCGCGAATCTTGGTTTGTTTTTGTGCTTAATTCTTTGGTAGAAAACAAACAATTCACTTCCTAACATTAATTCATAGATCTACCAAATACCGTGCAACGTGCAGCAACACATATTGCCAAGAAAGCAGTAGAAATGGATATTGTACCTGGACGCTCACCAATTTCAGTAGCTGCAGCTGCTATTTACATGGCGTCACAAGTAAGTGCAAGTTGTACTTTTTATAAACTTTAAGTAGTATTTAATGTAATACTATCTTTTTCAGGCGTCTGAGCATAAGCGCAGTCAAAAAGAAATTGGCGACATTGCTGGCGTCGCGGATGTCACAATAAGACAATCTTACAAGCTCATGTATCCTGAGGCGTCCAAACTATTTCCTGAAGATTTCAAGTTCACTACACCAATTGATCAACTGCCGCAAATGTAAATTAGTACGATATTTCAATTGATTCTTGTAATCAACTCATTTGAATTGAAGAAATAATTATACTTTGTCTTACGCCAGAACCGTGCATTCATAGTATTTTGCGGCAATCCCTGTTTCGCCCGACTAACTTATATAAATACGATTATTTTGTAAAGTTTCAAAGTACGTATTCAAAGATATACAACTGTTTAAAGATATGTACATTTCGTAAAAAAAGTTTTTCCAAATATTTGTACAAATATACAATGAGGGATACTATTTTTTATCTTCCTTTTTTTCTCTCTTTCCTTCCTTGGCGCCTGCTGACGTTTTAACCATCATACTCTCGCAAGTGATGGGTTCGGAAATCATTTGGTCTTCATCAAACGTTGTGGTTAAGTCAATTTCCTTATAACGGCGCTTAGAGCCAAAATTTTGTAAATATATAATTTTATTAATCAGGCACCGTTGCTTTTCCATTTCGCGGTCCAAACATGTTTGCAAATCCTTAAGGTCTTTTTCTTCACAAGGCGTCTTGCATGTCTTACAGGCAATGGTTTGTATTTGGTCTTTAATATTTTCTAGATGTGCTGTTTGACATTTGATTTCTTTGACCAAGTTTTTATAATCTGCATAATTACGCTCCTGCTCCGGATCTTCAGTAGACGAATCAATTAATGGAAAGTCTTCTTCCGCTTCTTCTCCTGGTTTGCTTTCTTCATTTGGCTTGGCTTCTTCTAGAGCTTTGTCAACGCCCTCCTCGCCTTCTCGCTTTTCAATATTTCCTTCTGGTGCCGGTTCAGATTCATCCGCCATTGTATAGTGAACTCAAAAAATCACAGCAAATTTATCTACTTTTACAAGATTTCAACAATATTTTAATCCAAAGAAAGAAGAAAATGTGTAATTGTATTGCCTGATGGAGGAACATTCATATTGTAATGATTGCCACCTCTGAGTGTTCCGTTTGCCATATTTACATGTACTGATCATAAATTTCACAATTGTAAATGTCTTCGACCATTTTAAAAATCCAATCGATTTATTTTTATCTCCTTCTTATTATCGAAGCTACAGGCATGAAAAATGTAGCGAATTTGCCTGTAAATACATTAATTACCTATACAAGAATGACTATTTTTGGCCCTCTTTTAGGTATAAAAAGGCCAAATGCTGAATTTTTCTGCGAGTATTCACATCCGATTGATGATGTGGACACAATGAAGAGAGGACAATATAGAAGCGAATCTTACCCTTCATAATCAGATCGGGCCTGATCAAATTATTGTAGATGAAGGTCTCTTTGAGAATTATTATTTGAATATTAATGATGACAATAAGAATCCGAAATTTGCTGGGAATGGTATTGAATTGAATTGGTCCTGTACGTGCTGATCCAACTGTGCTTAATAACCCGGTTGTTGATAACGCTTCTGACTAAGGTGTCAAAGATATTCCAACTTCTGAAATCAATTTTTATGACTGGCGTGCAGAGTAATTTTTCTGTATTTGTTGAAAGCTGTGAAAATGTTGGGGGTAAAGGTATGAATAGTTCCTCCCACCATTTCCTTTAAGCGAAAATCCCTCCCTAAGCCTATTAAGTTGAACTTTTGTATTCTTCTGGTTAACTATTTTATTCCCACCTTAAAACGATATTTTAAGTATGGTAGGTTTGCTCTTATCTCCACACCTCTCTCCTCCTCTTTTGCAACGCTAAGGCAACCAGGTGCCTTAATTGCGGCAAGATCTCTAAATGTATTGACAAATGCGTAACGAATAATGGTCTGGCTTGTGGTTGGTTGCAGGGAAGGTAAAAGTTCTACTAAAACAAGAAAGGGCTGCTTCTGAGCTTCTTGATCTTCGAAAACTTGAAAGCACCATTTCAGTTGCCCTTGAATGTTCTCCATCAAATGATCCTAAAATAAAGCAACGAACACTTGTTGTTGTGTGATAGATCCACGGCCTCCAATTCCAAAGTCTGCTTCCATTGCTGTTACAGAGCGGTGTTCTGGTCGATAATACTGAAGAAGCTGAGATTTTCTGTGAATAGTATTAAATATATATAAGTTGATTATCTTGGCTTGGTTCTAAACGTTTCTGTTGAAATTCTTTTATATTAGCCAAGAGTCGTTCCATACTTTCAAATGTCTGATATAAATTTATTGAATTTAGACAACAGTTTTTCGGGATGCGCGACTTCGTTGTGCTCATTTACATTGATTTCCATATGTTCGATTTGTATTCTTGGATCCAAAAACATAAGCAAAATACATCATAGCAACGCCTATGGCGTAGTTAAGGCTGATTGGGTGAGAAACAGAAATGTTAACAACTTTAACACACAAAATTTGAGACATACTTAACAATTTTAATTTCATATATATGTAAAAAAACTATACGTGCGTTTTTATAGTTTTATTTTTTTTGTCTAATTTTTTGTGATAGATTTTGTTTAATTTCTCAATTATTCAATTCGAATTACTTATTTTTGCGCTTTGTTTATAAAAAAAAGCACCAGGTTTTGTGAAAAGAGAGAGAACAAAGTTGCACCAAGAATAAGTGGTGGAAAAAAAAGGAATCAGTTCTGTTAAATGTAACGAATTCTCTTAAACCAAACCAATTCTCTAAATTAAAATTGCCTACGTCCTCTAAGCGGAATGATGTTGCGAAAGAGTTTCTTAGAGTGTTCAAAAATATACTATTTGTAATAAATCAAGCTGTCTATTTTATTTGCATTAAACATTATTTTTATATTATTAAACATATATTTGATTATTTAAACCTTATTATTATTTATATTATTTAAACGTTCATGTAGAAGTTTTCCAAATTTTGTAATCTTTGTTGAAAATCGGCTAAACATTCCAGCAGCTTATTGCATTATGTATCATTATCGTTTCCTCTTATTTATTTTGAAAAAAGGAATGGCAAAATAGTGGATAAGTAGATAATAAGTCATCACGGATAGCTTTGTTCGGTACAAACCGTGGTGCTTTGGCGATTGAGATGCTTTCTATAAATGGCAAAGCTTTCAATGACGATAAACAAAAGTAATAAGAAATTAATCATTAATACTTTTCTGTTAAATGTACCAAATTGACCTCAATGTTGTAGCTTAGATAGAGGCGTTTGCTTTTTGTGTTTAACTGTCCTCTTGTAGCTTTTAGATGAGTCTTCCATGCAAGCCTACGATCTACATACAATCCTACTTACTTAAAGTAATCATTTTTTGGAATGTCGCAATTGTAAAGGTATTATTATTATTATTATTATTATTAGAAATTTAGCCAGAGAATAAATTCTAAGACTAAAGTTTTAAAGCACTAGCATCTAAGGCTTTCGGCTTTATTAAAAACTCTACCGCACTTGAGATTCGAACCCACGACCATTGAGTTGCTAGTCGAGACTCTTGCCTACTCGGCCACTCAGGCGGATGTGTTAAGGTATACATTTTCATAGTTTCCTCTAAATGGCACGTGTGTAGATATTTCCGTGTTAACTTTTATTTTCTATTTTTCTAGGAAGTGTTCCATTTGATGAAGTTACCATTGCAGCTGAATTGAGGCATTGTTGGGATCTGTGCTTGTAACTAGTATTGCAATATATGTTTAGGTTGCCTGTAAAACATTACTTGGGACAAGTATGTCAGCTGTAAAAATTGTGTACAAGATTGGTCCTAAAACACTATCTTGAGGCACATCAGCTTGAATATTATAAAATTTCTGAAACTTCTTTATTAAACCCATCACCGAAAGATGAGGGGTAATGTCTGTTCTAATCATTCTCCTGGCCGCAAAAATGAAACTATCAATTTCAAATTTGGCAGAAACATTGGAAATTCTTGCACGCAGGTGGGTATTGAAAACGGGTCAAATCTAAGGACAACAGCATTTTGTAAACTCAAAATACCTCCATTTTTCAAAAGTAACGAAAATTTGATTTTTTGCTCGTTACTCATAAACTGCAGCAAATAAATGTGCAAAAATTTGGACGCAATATTCTATAGACGATAATGTAGCTGTAGCATTCGTGCACAAAAATGGGAAAAATTGACCACGTCTACTCAATATTGCAGCGTATTAAAGTTTAATTATTTTGACGTAGAAACAAGCTTCAAACACCCCATAAAGTATTAATGAAAGTAATCAAAACTTATCCTCAAAGCTCCGAGAAAGTAGAGATACAAAGTGAGGGTAAAATAACTTATGGCAAGTACTGATCAATTTTCAATGAACACAGGTTTGAGGTAATTTAGTATTTTAGCTCCAAAAATTATCGAGCAGTTTACGGAAGCAAAAAAAATAAACGGCGACAATTTCACATTTACATATAATAAAAGTTCCTCAAGGTTTATAAAAAAAGTACTATGTACGAAGAATGTAGAAAGCACAGGGTTGCTTTCAATAAATTATAACGCTACGATTCTGCTAAATGAGAAATTTTCATGTATGCAGCACCCAGAAGAACTTGAGATAGGTCCACTTTTATTAATCTGATCCATTACTTTCTGATTTGATTTAAGCGCGTCTGTCTGTCTTGTTTTCTTCGGATCTCACTCTTTCGTTAATGTGATTTTTTTATTATTAACCACTAAACAATCCTTGCCACTTTCTATCTCTACATATAAACGTCCCTGTATCGAATCGTACTTCAACAAATAACCCATTTGATCCGGGGATAACGCTTGTTGATCCATCCACGTTAACAAATGGTTTCGTCAACAAATCATAGCATCAGCCTAGTACTGAGCAGATAGCGAAGAGTAATACATCAAATAACATGCATCAAGAACGTCAGCAGCAGTAAGTACGAATGTCCGTTCGTTTGATTTTGCTTGCCAACAGTAACCACAGTGAACAATAAACAGCAGTATGTTAACTACTGTTATTTTATACGTTTTTTCTCTTCGAGCTCTTTTTTATAATTTTGTTTCCAAATTATGAAAAGAATAAAATATCTATAGAAAAAGGGCAACATACATGTTCTTGTTCAATTTCTTGGGGTAGGATGCTTGTTCTTGTTCAATTTCTTGGTCTAGATTGCTTGTTCTTGCTCAATTTCTTGCTGACATTATTATCTTCTTCCATAAATAAGAGCGAAAGTATAGATTTTATTACAAAACCTCACAAGCTAATAATAGTTTTATACAATTTTTATAGGCGTGGCATTCGATTTTATCCTATTTTCAAAAATAAAAAGAATATTCTCTTTCCATATATATTCATACAAGTGCTTTGCTTGAAATATAATATATAATATTTTTTATATAAATGTATCAA